TTATTTATGGTATTTATGATTTGTGGTTGATCTCCATATGAGTCACTTGTTTTTGTAGTATTTGGGTATTCCACTTGTGATATTTCGTTTTTGTTACCAGTAGATTTTTTTTTGTTATTTGTGTTTTTATCTGTTGGTAAGTTTTTGTTGGCCTTTGTTAAGAACATCACTTTTTCATTCAATAACATTTTCCAGAAAAATTTCGTATTTTGCGTCTTTTTCGACAATAAGTTTCCCCAGCAAATCAATTTCCATTAATAAGTTATTGATGTTGCTATCACCGTTTGTACCTTGTTATTGACCTTGTTGCCCTGCTGCCACATATCCTTGGATGTTTTTTTATTGTTTTTCACTGCAGCACACTATTCTTGTTTCTTCTAATGTATGGTATTGTTTTTTTTTTCACACAACTTTTGTGAAATGGATTCCCGCATTTTATACAAACTGTAACACAACTAGTTTGGATTTACAACATTCAAAAGTCTTACTGTTTACCCTTTTATCACAGAGCTCTTTACCAGCTTGTTGCTGGTCAGCCATTTTGAATGGCGTTTGAATTAAGTTAATCAACAACATGCATAATCTTGAAATGTAATTGATCTTTCAACAAAGTTTGATTAATTCTTCACTTTCAACATGTTTATATTCTAAATGGCTAAGTGAATTCATTCAGAGACAAATTCATTTTTACATTTGAGACTCTGCTATAAGAAGGGCGGCATGGGAATTAGCCGATCTCACTTTTGATGATTTGATAGTATATTTTGATGCGGCGTTTTGATATCGTTGTGTTGTGATGTTTTGATATCATTGTGGCCCCAAGGTAATATTTTGGTGGTTTTGGAACTATGAATCACTTGATATCCTTATATAACAGAGCGACTTCGTTTCACATCAGCGTATAAATATTCGGGAGTACATCCTTCATATTTTCAATCACCGATTAGCTAACTGGCACACTGAATTCATTACCCAATGCATTGTTGGAAGTATCAAACTAATCAATATTCCCAAAGATGAAATCATAAAAGTTGTATGTCAGTTTCAAAGAATCCTTATCGGTATAGAGAAGAGAAGCTTGAGGTCTATAATGGTTTTTGATGACATCATAGGAAAAGTCGTAAATGACTGTTTTGACATATCTAAAACCCTAAATGAAATGATTTGTTATGACAAACTCTAACTTCACCCATATGTATGACGACAGAGTCTTCCGAAAATATGGATAATGTTTTGAAATTAGGGCGAGTTATTGAAGCATTGGCACCTATACCTCTTCGTATAGATTCCCAATGTATACCAATTCGAATGTCTCTTGTATTGTTTACGTTCACTATGGTCTTACCGTATATGTAATTGACATTCAATTTGAAGTAATTCTTCTCAAACTTATTCGCAGTCTCATTTCCCAGAATCAAATTCAAATCAATATACTTTTTCAACCATTGATCGAATCTGAGAATTACACGAGTCCTCATCACCATCAAACAATTACGGATCGTCTGTTTCAAGTTTCTATAATGAGGATATATTTCTTTATCATTTATATTCGGTACGAGTTCATGTATTTTGGACTTCGAACCAGGTGGTATGATATTTTTCACCAAAAATGGTTAGTCTGAATAGTGACCATGCAATTCGACGAGATAGTGCACATCTACTTCAAGAATATATGCTTGAGGGTTATCATCTGGAATACTATTGATATCTAGCTGAATTATTTCATCGGAGGTCAACCAAGTGAATCCGTCAGAAGCTAGTTATTGATTATGGAAATCACCTTTCTGCCTCATGTTTATGATTTTCCGGAAAATATTTTCGCGTTTCCAGAAAAGGTTTTTCATCTAAATTATCGCCTAACTCTTGGAGAAAAACAGCAGTTCTTCGATAGATACATCGATGAACATCAATTTCACAGACATTTTTTTTTTGCTAATATTGATCTGATTTATCTTCCATGAATGAATGTTTCGTGAAAGAAACATATCTATTTCTTTTCAGTTTGAGCGATGACATCAGCTTTACTTTCAATAGTGCATTCATCTGTTAAGAACAAATGACAATCATACACACTGTGATGATAGCAAATTATCAGAATGAAGTTAGGTTGAGGTTACAAACGGAGTATGTAGCTCCATTTCTTTCTTTTTCAGTATATCATCCTCTTTAAATATATTTTCACATATACCACATGTCGTGGCAATTCCGCTCTTCTTCAGCAGTCTTCTTCAAATATTTTTGAAACAATCACTTCAGACGTATCAACCCATCTATATAATACGAATTTAGAAATAGATTAATCAAAAAAGCACTAAAAAACATGAGAATGCGTGTGGTTCATGAAGATAAGTTCTATTTCTGATAGTTAGCAGGATTTGGCTAATTTGTATGCTCTGGCTCAAGAATAGATTCGAAATCAACGTATTCAACCAATGGAACTATCTCAAGTGTTTTTCGATATTTTCCGATTTCAAAATATTCTCAGGTACACATTAACCAAATGCACCAACTCTAAAATGTGTTGTCGATATGTGATTACAATCGTTCAATTTATGTCGCAATGCTCATTACTAAAGTACAACCATCACAAAAATACTTTTTATGATCGTGTGCATATATTTGATACCGATCACGATGAATCTTCAATCACGAAAGAATGACTATTACCAGCTCATCCGTTATATTCAGCAGATTCACGTGTCTTAAGTCTATGTTCCGAATAGCATGACGGGTCCACCTCTTCCTATTCAATTCTATCATTTCTGAAACCAAATTAACGAATATTTTCTAACTCAACTGGAGAATCCATACCTGCTACAGTCAACAACGTGGAGAAGTGAAGGTATGAGAGAATTTCACATTCTCACATTGGCAGGATACAAAACTGAAGTTACAAAGCAGTAAGTGACCCTAATTGACAACATTCACAACACTTTTCTTGATGTAAGGAGAACCTCCAAAGAGGCCATGCTTACTAATATTCGATCATTCGATTGATAAATAACTTGATTGGAGCTATTGAATGCTTTAACTTTTACAAACACGTTAGTTTGGAAATAGTAAGTCCAAACACCTTCATTTTAATATCCACATTTTTATGGATCACTAACTGAAACGTCTTCGGGTAGTTTCAATATTGTCTGCTTCAATTCATTGAAAAATGTGAAATTATCCATCTGGTGGTTTTGACCATTCACCTTGTAGCTCACATTTCAACACTTGAATGCACGTTATAACAACGTACAACAACGTTCCCTAAGTAAAAATATTCGTTTGTTCCATACTGCAAAGTTCTCTTATATACATTCATCTGATCGCTTGCAATAGTCGAATTGCAGCACAAACATGTCTGCATTTGTGGAATTGTTAAAGGGTTAAACCTCCGCCTTTTCGATGTTGATGACTCTTCATCATTTGCGAGAGTAGCTGAATCTCGCTAATTACAAGGTTTTCATTCCGAATGAAACTTTTTCCACATTCACTACACGTTTACATCTCGTATATATTACCAGACGATCATGAGGAGGATTTGAAATAACTGAAATATTAACATCACACTTCTTATAAGAGCTCAATCCCTTCCACTTCAATCCAACGTGAAGCTACGAGGTTTTATTCCAGGTCATATGATAGGGCTCGAGATCAAGGTGATGAATCAAGAGCAGAATCGGTCGTCAGGGTCAAACTGATTGCTCAACGTCATATGTCGTGCACTTTGCTCAAGGTCGTATATGATCATTCAAGGTCATATGGCGTGCACATCGCTCAAGGTCGTGTGGCGTCAATCAAGGTCAAGTTTGAGTGGTTCACAACCGTCATTAGTACTCTACTTCTGACTTTCACAGGAATATACTATTTTGATCCTATGATGGTCACTGTCCATAAATATCATAAAAAACGCTACGGGGTGTTATTTACATGTTTAAATACAAGGGTTATATATTCAGAAGCAGCAAGTTCTAGACCAGAATAAGATGGTGGAGAAAATGACTGGAAAAGGAATCCAGCGTATATTCCAGAGCCCCTAGCTCCTCACATGGGAGGATGTTGGAAAAGACTGGTGAAGTCCATGAAAAGAACCCTTTGAGTAACAATCATTGTGAAATTTTCGAAAAAAAAGTTTTTTCAACATTATTGATTGAAGCTGAACACACTTTATATGTATGATGGAATTGGCCGATACTTGATGAATATCCATAGTATAACTTCATTGCGAGATTTTCAATAGTAAAGACACGCCCGAAGAAGTCATTGTATGGCGAAACACGTGTTGCGTTTTTGTAAAACTATTTAGTGAAAATTGCACAATGAAGTTATTTCTGAATACAATTTATATGGAACACCACTCATTCATATTTTCTCAGATCACACCGACGAATAAACCCTAACTCCCAACCACTTTCTGATTCGATCGTTTAGAGTAGCGTCTGTTGAATGTTTAACAATGGAAGATTGCAGATCGTTTCTGGAGGCGGTGCATCAAATAATATCTTCCCAGACTGGTGAAAACAAAGTGGTATGATAAGCAGTTCCACAACCACAAGCCGACTACATAGTCAGTAAAATCGATGAAGATTTACCCAGGAATTGGTGCCTTTCCTGGCAACGGCGGCGAAGTAAAAAGGGTGAAAGTCAAGACGAAGATGGAAACCTATCGACGATTAGCAATAAAAATTTGCAGATTGTATTTGAATAAATCAATTGTTAGCTATAAACATGATAGACAGTTGATAGATAGAAAGTTGTTATAAATAGATGGTGAGAATATTGTAATTCGAGTTATATAATGCCATGTTCGAAAAGTATGAAACACCTGAAAAGTCAAAAACACTGCAGAACAGTTGAAAGAAAATTAAAAGGACAAATCACCAACTGTATTATTGAAACATTTCTGAGTACGACTACCATGCGAATCATTGAAAATTTCAATTTTATTGCCTCATGACTGGTATTATTGATTTCGACATTGAAATTTGCGGATAATAACAAAAATTATTTACCTGTAGTTTTCCTCTACAGATAGCTTCATTCAGTCTTCGTCCACTACCGTGAAAAGGAAGAGTCCCCGACAATAGCACATGAAGAAGAACACCTGCAGCCCAGATGTCAACTGGTTTGCCATATTGCCGCCTCTCGACTACTTCTGGAGCCATGAAATGGGGACATCCTACTCTCCCTAGAATCAAAAGATTCGTGAATATTATTTATACAATATCTTTGGTAGAATATATTAATAAGACAGAAAATTAAATATAATAGAACTAAACATGTTACTAGCAACCCCAAAAAAATTTAAATTCATACATCGGAAATATATATTGGGTTCACGAATAGTGTCACTAAAACTCAGTACCAAGACACTAATGAAACCATCACTCACCAAAGGCCCTACCTTCTGAGTATATTCAGATATTTGTATGTTTCGATTGGAAGAGTTATAGCTATCAGTTTTTCAGATGTGATTAACTTTTTGATTGTTTTTAAAGTATGGATATTCAATTAGCCAAAATAACGAAAAAAATTCTTCCGAAATATTGGTTCCTCGACAAAGAACAGTGTATTTCAATTGACTAGTAAATTGTAGGTCATTTTAAGGACATATCACTATTCATGCATACTTATATAATTGTAATGGTTACACATACACATATATGACATAAGATTATGAAGATTCTGAGATATATCATGAACGAACTTATTTTGATATGATTTTTTTTACTGTAACTCAATATTATAAGAATTAATAATAGATTATTTGGCGCGGTAACAGTGCGGATCGATTCTACTACGTAACATGGCTGACAGGACTGGGGGAAGTTTCAATGCTCTCTTAGTGGCTCGTGGAGTTATCATCATAACCTACCCAGAACACGAGGCTAACAACCACAGTATTCGATGCCGTTGAAATCGAGAAAAAGAAAGATTAAAATTGAATCCTTACTATCAAAAGGAACTACCAAGAATAATTTTTATAACTGCAAATCGTTCAATAAATTGTAGGCACATTTTTCAGACTAAGCTTTAATTTTCTGTTATTGATTTTCATTTTGCTTTAGTGCCCAGAAAATGTATGTCGCTCTATTTCCTATGATTTGTTTTTAGGGTTTATGTCGAGTTGTTGGGCCACTTCTTATATATTCAAATCGTTTGTCAAAATTTGTTGATGTTGATGCGATATTCACGTTAATTCATATTTCATTCTTTTCAAGATTATTTGTCCTTATACTCTGTTTCCTGACAGTAAACATTATCAAATGCTCATTATGAATGCAAAATACTGATAGAGTGCTCAAACAAAATCCTGTGATTTTGTTATGATTTGCCACAGTTGACATATATGGGTTTATATTTTACCTGGTCCCCCTATTTTTGTATCGCAAACGGGTTGCAAACAAAAGATTTTATTAGCTTTCGGGTCGTTTTGTACCTGCAATGTGTGAGTTTGGATATTTAATTAAAAAGTTTTGTTGTTTTATTCATGTATATTCAGTTGATATTGTAATAACATTTTGATTTAAAATATTTACATTATAATTATTAGGTGTGCTTATTCAAGAAGATATTAGGTATAGGCAAAAACTATGGCGTGTTATCATCAGACAAATTAATAATAATAATTGTCAAACATATCGCCGTTTATGTCTTCATGGTAATGAAGACATAAACGGCGGGTTTCATCATGGTCTGCCATGATGGTGTTTTCAAAACTTTAGTCTACCGTAGTCGCATAACGGGTATAGAGGATTCTGGCACCATCACACATTACTCATGGTATTCATAACATTGCAAGTCTAACAGGGACAGCTGTAGGGTATACTTCACACAAAATATTCAAAAGTTAATTTACAAATGAAAATAACTCACGATACCATTTCCAATTTCGAGAAAACGTCCAAATCGAAAGGAAGCTCACTAGCATACTTCCTTTCTAGTCATTTCAGACTTCTTTAGAAGGCTTTTTATTCAATATATTCAAGTTTTCCACAATGTTAAGAATGGGAACGTATCAAAATTTGAAAAGATATTGCTAATTCAGTAAATATTCAATCCAAATCTACATGGATCAAACATTCAACTAGTAGACATTCCACAAGACCTTAGCAATTTTTTTGCAAAATTTAGTATTGAACCAAAAAAAGGATATCAATATTTCATGGTTTCTTTCAGATATTGACGTCATTGTTAGTAATATCTATGAAGCTCATAGAAATCTTGTCGTCACTCAACCAATGCAATGACTAATCATCTTCACCATGATAGCAACAACGTTAGCCAACTTCATAAAATTTTCCATGAATGGTTGTGCAACTGAGACTTTGTTTTTTAGAGATATATGATACAAATTTAAAAGTACTACAGATGCTTTCAGGTTAATTTTGTTGGATACAGTAGGAACATTCACTATTGCGTTCAGTTGTTTTAAGATGGTTTGGGCATCTGCTGCAATTCGATCTGTATGGGCAGAGCTTCCGAGCAGTCGAAATATTTTGTGTAGAAGATACTGACAACATATTTGATCGAATGGTATCATTAATAGTGTTCCTGTAATCTCCACATATACGTACTTGATTTTTATCTCACAAACGACAGCAATAGGCATACACCACTTTGGGTATGACACTGGTTCAAGCACTTCCACATTGGGAGTTCAATTCATGATCTACTTCATCTTTGAGTACAAAAGGTACTTTTCTCGCCTGCAGCTTTAACATTGAGATTAAGCCCAAATCATGAAAGGCCCATCTACACTGAAGGATTTGCTTGTGTCTCACCAAAGTGTGATATCCGTCTGAATGATGGAAATTGATCCCTTTATGCTCAGTTTGATTGAAACTTGGTGATTCACTACGTGATGTAGAACGCATAGTAAATAAACAAGTTCTGATTCGATGACGTCATCCCACGACTTCAATTATATTATTTCGAGTTGAAACGAGTGGCATATGTAATCATGATCGAATAGTAACTACAATATATTTTTATAATGTTCCATCTTTTCATGGAACAAGTTTAAGCTTTCTAGTTTCTCAGGAACCCTAAGTTTTCGAAAAGTATTACATCCAACAACCTGTATTACTTTTCAAATAATCCAACACCACACATCCAAAAATGTCTCTACATCCTGTATTCAATTCTAAACTTATCAACACATTACATTCATTATTTTCTGCCTGATATGATTTTTCATATTCGTTATAACAGTGTATATTTCTTAAATTCTAATACTATAGATTATGGACACTTTCTGTTTTCAAACTTCTTTACATTTTTTTCTGCTCAAAAAAATACGTTCAAATCTGTATTGGTTGTAACTGTCAAACATCTTAAATCTTCTTTCAGCTAGCAATAATCTTTTGAAATCCATCATTTGAAGTTTTTATATCACTTTGTTCGCTATCGCGCTTTACTATTATTCCGAGAGAGAAATTACCGCTTTCGTCGTTTTCTCTTGATTCCTATTTTAGCATTTCTTAATACTACTGTTCTTTTCGTCTCAATTTCAGCAAATTAAAGTGTTAATACTGTCAAATGTTATTTTGTATTTCATCTTGCCTCAAATTTTTATTCGGTACTTTCATGAGCTGTCGCGAATGATAGGAAGCGTTGTCAAGAACTATTACACTATTCACATCCAAATTTGGAATCAATGTGTTTTCAAACCAGTCCTCAGAAATATTAGCTTCCATGTTCTCATGATAGTCAACATTGCAGTCCTCAAGTTTTTTCACATAATTTCAAAGAATTCGGAATCCCTCCTTTACTTCTTCGCAATGCACAATGATTAGTCGCGATCCTTTATTTGCAGGCATGGTAGACGTACACATTCTCGAACCATTAGTCCACCCTTTCGTAACTGTGTCGTGAGTGTCATACCAAGTTTCGTCCAAATAGAAAATTTGCCGTTGTTCTTGTCTATATTTAGTTATTTGTTCTAAGTATTTGTTACGCAATTCCACTATTCTTTTGCTTTCCATAACTGCTTGACGTTTGTTTATTATCTTAAATCTAAATCCTAGTTTTTTTTATCCAATTCTGAAGAGTTTTGTCACAGCAGCTTACGTTATGGCTGGAAGTATTCAATTTCTTCCTTATGATTTCAATTCTAGGAATATCATTGCTTTTGTAACAGTCGTATATTGTTTATGATTTTGTTTTTGACTATTTTACATACAGTTGAGAAAGGAATTTCGGTCAAATCTGATGTTGCTTGTAATAGTTTTTTTCTCGAAACCAAACTTGATATGTAGATTATTATATGCATTGAAACATACTCTATGTGTTTCAATATTCAAATGCATCCGAATTTTTTTCACTGGTACCAGCGCTATTAGAATCACTACACAGGAAAAAGTCTGCGTTGTTGTCACTCTCGTTATTACTATTAGTACTTGTCCAAGGACGCCACATTTTGAACAAATACCAAAAATTTCAAGTAATTATAACTTCACCCATATAGAATTTCAACACTCAAATCGCAATCAGTTCCTGAACTGAACATTGACAACACGACTCTTCTAACCATCCTCACATTCTATTGGTCACCGTAACATGACTTCAAATTTAATTTTAAGATTCTTCAGCCTTTAGCCAATCATAAGACTCGGTTAGTAAAAATTATACAATACGATTCGCCAATTAGTCAGCCCACGTGGACTAATTCATAGCGACATTATTTCTCTGTATTGGTTTTTTTTGGCCATTGAGTTCGCCGATAGTTTTAAGAATTACTATAACAGTTACCTCGACTATAACTCCTAATGGCACTAGTTTAATCAAGGTAAAAGTATTTACAACATATTCAAGAAACACTTTATTGTGAGATTTTCACTGAACAGTTTTACAAAAACATAACAGGTGTTTCAGTATACAGTAGCTACTTCAGGCGTATCTTTATTGATTGACGTTAAACATGTACCTAAATTTGGAAAATTAATAAACCCCACCGTAAGAAAAGAAGAGAACGTGTACAGCCCCATTTGAGGTAATTCAGTAAATTACTCGAATCTATTCATTTCCAAATATCCTAAAAGATTGAGTTCCAAACTTTTCTCTTCTAAATATAACACCTCATAGTCATGATTGAACTCATGTCCTGCTAAAAGATGGTTTGCAAATGTGAAATTGGTCTTTCCATTCAAGAAACTCTTTTATGATCTTTAATTCGTTGAAAAAAGT